CCTATAAAAGGAAATGAAACCAAGCTTATTAAAAACACCACACATCAAATTACATCTTCATTTTTCTCTCATATTCATACAATATATATTTGATATATTTGTTTTTCTTTCCTCTATCTCTGTAAACACTGAATATTATAGTAAATTGGTTCTCGGCTTCCTCCGCCCGTGGTTTTTCCCGATTTGGGTTTCCACGTAAATATCGCGTGTTTTTTTTCTTTTTATCGTTCGATTTATTCTTGGTTGGTTATTCAAATAGTTTTATATTCCGTTGAATCGCTATCGTGATATTTGGGTTTTATACTTCGATCTTGAAGTTATCGATTATTTATTGTAGTCGATTTGTCTACACTTGGGATAGATAAACATAATGTTAATTTCATAGAGGTAATATGATTATTCTTGTCAATTTATGAAGTTAGAAGATAACTCATCTGACACAAAAAGAATCAATAGATTCACCTGCTGGCTGTAATCATATTTCCCTGTGTAACCTTTTTTTCATGATTTTGTTTTTCAGGCATCTTCTGATTTCAAACAGCCCGGCTACCACCACATGTCCCTGAGTACTCCCTGGAACTTGTATCTTGTGGTGGCTGGTGGTTGTTTCTGGTGGTGGATTTGGCCGGAAAAATTTCCATGCATGTGTAACCGTTTTTCCATGTGTACATACTTGAAGCAAAATTACCTGCTTTCAAAAGAAAAACACAAACTTGGTCGCCTTCTTGATGAATTATATTTCATCCTTCACTCACAACTTTACCCTGTAAATAACATAAAGATAATTTTCTTTACTATATTTTAATCCCCTGGTTTAGGCTTAAACTTAGCTTCAATATACTCTGTTTTATACTTAAAGCTACGTTACCGGTTAGTTTTAAAATAACATTACATTGTAGGTGCATCACGATGCGAAGTCAAACAAAAAGATGAAAAGTTAGGATGAAGTGATATTACTTGAGATCATCCTCTGGTAACATCAGACTTGAAGTGTTATTTGACATCGACATGAGTTGTGTTGGTGAAATTGAAGAACACAACAGCAACTTGAGACAAATTGACGGATATGTTTTGGGGAAGCTAAGAGAGTTGTGGAGGATGAAAGGTGAAAGTAGCTCTGATATCCTCATCCGCAGCTTTCAAGCAGTTGAATGGATAGATATACGAAGGTGTGAGAGGTTTCTAACCGTATTCACACCGACCGTGGCCAATTCTGATGTGAGAAAACTTATGAATGTGAGTATAGATGGTACGAGACCTTTGGAAGCAAGCAAGAGATACATTGAATGGGTTCAAAAAAGAAAGGAGGTATGTGATGTCATGGAGCTTTCAGTTTCTATTTTGATGTTACAGCACTTAGTTGTATGTGCCTCTATATATATACCCTCATACTTATGTGTATATGTATCTACATATGTGTGAGTGTGTGTACATACATACATATACATATGTACATATCACACTACAATAAATCAATCAATTATATACAATTTTTGTATGTATTCACACTTAAAAGTGTGCCATAACAAATTATTTCTAAACCTTTACACTTCAAAATGTGGATAAACAATTTAATACTCCACATTTAAAAACATGGACAAATTACCTATATACTACGTTTTTAAGTGTGGAGAAGTAGGCTAGATTTCCTACATTGCTAAGTGTGGATCTCTTATTTTCTTGTTTTTGTTATTTCACTCTACTTAAGCATTTGTTTAATATTTTCTAACAATTGTAACTTAAAATATTACATATTTACACCGCATTATTAAAAGCGATTGAAAATTAAATTTTTTATATTTTTCCAATAAGTGTGAAGATTTTACATATTTATTCTAGTGATCAATTAGGTGATCACTCAAAATTACTGATTTATGGTAAAAAAAAAAAGAGTAAATATAAAAATCTTGTCCCCGTTATCTTGGTCCTTCCTCCAAGTGACCATCTCAGTGCCCCTCTGTGTCTCCTTGATGAGGTGATATATGAAGCCTTAAATAAGGATATCTCATTTCAATAGTTTGTAAATCTCACCTGAAATTGGATGTTCTTGCATCATCGGATCATCCCCCACTTGTCTTGCAACTTTTTTACTTAAATTTAAGATTTCACTCATCTAATACCCAAAAAGTATAATTTCTTTTGGAAACATGTTGTCTGGTTTTGGATTGTGACAATATGTTGTAAGCATTGCCTTTTTTCTATTTTATTGGCTGTATGTTTTATGATACTTGCATCTTAAATGATGATTTTGGATTTCAACTCACTGAATAATGTGTTGAAGATGATAAGATATGGTCGTTGAATTTATGCTATGCCTTGCGTTTTCCATGCTTGATGATGATGAAAAATGCACGTGAGATTGTCTATGGTAGCGGAGTAAAATGATTGCAATGGAGGAAGATTGGACTCCTGATTGTCTCTGGTAGAGAAGTCGACCAAGGAAAAAGGGTTGGATCAGGACCGCTTATAGCAGCAACAGATAGGGGAGCTAGCCAGCTAGGTGAGGAAGACGGTGAAAGGGGAAAGAGGGGGACAGTGGGGGCGATATGTGGGTGGTGGGGCCTATGGACAATTTCAATGATAATTTAATAATACAAAGTGAAAGAAGGGAAAAATAGTCGTTTTATAAGGCTTTAACAGACTTAAGTTACCGGTGTGAGTGCTAGGGATCAAAATTGCAAAATGATTTTTTTGTACCTAAACCGAAAAACCAGATAACCAATTTTGTATGTTAGTCCAAAAATGTTATTTTTACGTATTTGTGTAAGTGTGAGTATTTTGCATATTTATTGTAGGTATCAAATAAGTCATCATTGGAAATTATTTAAAATCAGTTAATTTAATCGCTGTCAACTTTAGTTATGTAAATAGATTTAAACAGGTGGGCCATTTATGAATAATTAATTTAAATTTTAGTTATTGGAAATTCTGAATTATATTTGTTGTTGAGATATCTGCAGATTAATGTTATATCCAAGGAAGATATCATTTCAGAGGTGTATGGTAATATTCCTGACGTTGAATCCTCAATTCATCCCAAACCTTTTCTTAATGTCCTTCAAGTAAGTGGCTGTAAGGATGTTGAAGTGGTGTTTGAGATAGAGAGTTCCAGTAGCAGCAGCAGCAGCAACACAGATTTCACAACAACTCTGCATAAATATAATCATCAACCACCACTACTACTTCCCCACCTCAAGTCTTTATATTTAATAAATATGGAGAGGATGAGTGATGTGTGGAAGTGCAATTGGAAGAAACTTCTAATTCCTCAAAACCAATCACAATCCTACTCATTCCACAACCTCACACACATATCCATGTACAGATGCAAAATCATAAAGTACTTATTTTCACCTGTCATGGGCAAACTTCTTCCCAACTTAAAGGAGGTCTGGATAAGGAGGTGTGATGGTATTGAAGAAGTTGTTTCAAAAAGAGATATTAATGATGAAAATGAAGAAATAATATCTTCTACTCACACAAACACCATCTCCTCCTTCCCTCTACTTCAAAGTCTCTACCTTAGAGATCTGCCATGCCTGAAGAGTATCGATGGCGGTACTACGATCACAACTACTTCCATCAATGACCAGTTCAGGGTATGCTTTCTTTTAAGTGAATCCTATACATATTCAATTATTTCTTTTATCTATTATTTTTTTTCTCGATTAGACGCGTTATATATCTTTTCATAACTACATGCGCAGTTTTTATAGTTTTTTTTTTCTCTTGCATAGGTTATTAAAGAGATTTATAGATCACAGGGTTGTAAAACATATCAAATGCATTTGTTATCCAATTTCACTGAAACTAAGTTACATACATGGTCAATTTTGGACCAGATTGTGAAGGAGAGAAAAATTATTGAAATGATGTTTGTTATTCATTTCAACAGTATTGATAATTTTTGGTAGGTAATGTGAATATTGGAACAAAAATGATTTTATTTATTTATCTATTTTGTTTACATGCAACCTAAGTATAATGAACGGATGTCTATTTTCTATTTAAAATACTAAATTTACGATAGATATTACAATATACAACCTAATGTATGGTGAATGGACCTCTATTTTCGCAAGAGACCCTGATATTGAGGAGTATTTTCCCCTTGGAATTTACAATAACAATTTCTATTTTCACAAATGATGATAGTATAATCTTTTCCTTTATAAAAATTAGATAAGCTAGACCAAATCTTTTAGGTTTAGATGTAACACACACACACACACACTACAAGAAAAAGACCCTTTTACAACGCGTAAACCACGACACTCGTTTATTTATGTTACGCAAAAGAGAGTGACATTAAAAAAGTGTCATCTCTTCAAAAAATTTAAGGATTTAGGTCACGCATTATTGCGTGCCCTTAAATTAGTGTCTTAAATGCGCATATCTTAAATGCGCGTCCTCTATAAGTGTCGCTTTATAATTTTAATGAACGCGCATTTAGTAGATACGGGGGAAAATGAAATCCCCAAAATTTTGAAAAACCGCCTTGTTCTTTTCTACCTTCTCAAATTCTCTCGATTCTCTCTAGCCTCTGCAACAATCGACGATATCACCTCGCTTCGCCTGGCCTTGCCGGCAACCTCAGGTCCGGAAACACTCAACTCTCTCGTATCCCCTTCACCTATCAATATATCCCGGAACAACGCCATATACATCAAAGTAATCCATACTTCCTTTTGGATTGTTGTTTGACAAAAGCCAATCCACTGCTTCCCTTTCTATCCACCGTTCTAATATGTTGGTAAGGTGTACGCGTCAAATCTGAATCTATTGATATCTCTTCAAGCTTTGTGCTCCAGCCCTGTAACGCCCGTAGATCAGGGCTAGCCAATTTAGAGATAATGAGCATCAAAAATGACTTTTTGATGGAATATTATTTAGGAGTAATCTTAACTAAGTTTTAGTATATTTTACAAGGATTCCGTACATATAAATAACACCGAAATCCGAGTTATAACGAAGAAGTTATTACCTGTCGAAGTTTCACGACAGAACCGACACGACACAGCGCGACGTACATAGTGAATTTACGATGGAGCGATATTTGGCCTTAGTGATCTAAACGAAAGTCGTAAAATACGTTAAACCGAGAGTGTGCATAAAAAGAACATCCAAATCTGACTTCGTATGAGGAAGTTATGATTTTTCTAAGTTTCAGCTTAGTGGTATGCAGCCCAAAGTTCGATTATGAGATCGAGCATTTTTAGTCGAAACAATCTAAACGAGAATCAAAGATCTCGTCGATAGTAGTGCAATGGAAGAAAGATAGACGAAAGCGGACGTCGGATGAAGAAGTTATGGATTTTTAACGGACTTTTCCAGTCCCGGACAGTTAAAAATAATATAATAAAAATAAACTCAAAATTAGCCAACGAAGTCTAAATGGGAGTTGTAGAGCATAATCTCACCTACGCGTGGATATAAAGAACGCCGAAAACAGAGATCGTACGTGAAAGTTATGGGATTTCAAAGATTGAAGCACAAACTTCGAGGCTGGCTAAAGGGGAACGCCATGCGTTCCTTCAGTTCTGTAGTAAACCATGAATAGTTTTAAGAAAATCCGATATTTTCTTTAATGAAAATGTAGTGTTATCAGTTCTGTAGTAAACCATGAATA